GGGGGGGGGGGTCTGCAAACATAAAGGAACCACTTAGGTCAGTCTTTACCTGTAAGTAGTCATTAAGTTATTGGAGCAAAGCCTCATGGGATGGTATATAGTGAGTGGGGTTGGATGAAGAAACCATATGAGTGGGGGCTTGTAAGTGGGCCCCCTTGCTCTCCCCAAAAAGACACTGAGCTTTATTCAAACCTTTGTGTTCCTCAGATGAAGGACACAAGGTTAGAAACTTTTAGTGTTCTGAGCTTCTCTGGATCCATAAACTGGTCCCCAAGAATCCTTTGACTGCTCAGAGCCAGGCAGTGGTCTAAGTCATACAAAGAGGTCTCTAACAATGCCACAGGCATCACACAAACCAGTGTCATGGAGTCCCATCACCATTTTGTGGCAGTTGAGCAGATTGTGCCCATTTAGGACTCCTACCAGTGTACTAAGAGGTTTCCTTGTCAGGGTGATGAGAGCTTTTCTAAACCTAAGATTTGGGCTTTTTATCAGTTCCAGTGCCTGTCTACAATCCGTCAACTCCCTCCAGAGGAATGGGTGTTGACTTCTGATCCAGGCCTGTAGGGCAGCTTTGGGTTAGGGTTAGCTTATTCATCGTTTCCTCTCCCCAGTTGGTTGACTGTTTTGGTACACTTTCAAGCCAGTAATGATGCAAGGTGTGACCCTTGGAGAGCTCTAAGCCTCATGGGATTGCTCATTTGTATGGTTGTATGTACTTTTCTACTGTCTATTCATTAGTTTCACATCCATGTAAGTAATTTAGACTTTGACTGCTGTGATGTTTTGTTCTTTGGTTCTGGTGGTTCTTGGTACCATGATGGAGATTTCCTCTACGAGTGACTTCCTGTGTTGAAGTTTATAAATCCTGAGGTTGTGTAATAAGAGCTGATCAACAGGAAGTTTTTAGTTTCTTTAACCACTTGTGTTGTTCTCACAGTCATACTCATCAAGTTTTAGTTAACTCTGTTTGACTTGAGTGTGTGGTGAGATGTGTCATGGTGTTTGTTTTTTTAGTTTTATTGACCATTTGGACACAAAAGAGGTCTTGAGGAACCTTTTCACTCTCACTAGCTGCGTTTCCATTGCAAATGTGCACAAAACTTTGTCGATATTCTGTTAATGCCGAAAAACACAGTTTCGCAACTGCGGTGTTTCCATTAAGTAAGAAATTCAGTCACGCATGAATACGTTTTTTCTCGCGATAAGTCATTACAAACATGGCGGCAATGGATGTAAACACATAGCTTACTGCTACTGCGACACTAGCGCTCATCATCAGAGGAGATGTCGGCGTCTTTTATCGAGGCTTTCCAGAGACAAGTCCCTACTTGGGAACGGCTACGTATGCTGTGTTTTTGGGAAATTGTAGCTGGTGAGTTTACTATTTTATACTACTTCTGTGATATTACTACTACATCTTCTTCCTGTTATCTTCTTCGTCATCGTCTTTTTCGCCAGTAGAAACAGCCGGTTGTTGATCACAACATTTGAAATCTAGATGTTAGTTCCCCCTATGTTTGTCATGATAAAAATAAAATTGTAAAACATATGGAGACTCACCCATTCATGAACATTGTCCCRTAAGATTTTAAACTCATGTATTTGTAGAAAAGTTTTATTTTGGATGATTACCATACTTGATAAAAACCAGGTTTATAAAACTGACACATCTACCAGACCCTTAAAGGACCGGTTGTACAACAGTCTGTTGTTTGGGTTTGACTCCAGGACCTATCACACATTTCTAACATCGTAGAAAAGTAAAAGTGGTTGACTGGTTGTTGGGACAGCAGCTGAGAAGCTGTTGTTCTGTTTTTACAGYTAAAGGAGCTGAAACCCAAAAAGCCTGAGCCACTAACCCTAACCCTGTGAGACCTGAAGGTCTGACCTGTGTTGTTCTGATCCTGTTCTTCCTCTCTGAATGGCACGCAGCCGTCTCATTTAACACACTGACGGTCCAGATGGTCTTGGCTGCACCTGACATGTTTTTTTTTTTTGTCTGACCTGACAGCAGTCAGGGACTTTCAGACTCGGACTCWGAAGGGGAGGACCGTGTGGACGGGGTAAAGTCTTGGTTGTCTAAAAGTAAATGCTCCACCAAGAACCTGTCTGATGACGGCAGCCTGAAGAGTTCCAGGTCAGTTCATAAGAAATCTTTGTGTTTGTGAGTCTGTGGATCCATGAGTCTGGTCCTTCTTCTGCTCTTCATTGACTTTTCTTGACTTCACCCTGGTCTCATCTTTTACTTTCTTGTTTGAACAGTTTTACATTTTTATTCAGAAAATATGTCACATATATTTTGTTACAATTTTTTTTCCAAGCCAACAACATGCACTGCCTGGCCAAAAACAAGTTGACACCTGAGGGATCTTAGGAATGTGCTGGAGAAGGTCAGACTCTACCATCATCAATGCAAGATCTTGGTGAARCATTAATACAACACTGGATGGAAATAAATCCACAGTGCCACAGTGAATGTGTGCTGTAATCAAAGCTAAAGGTGGTCCAACCAAATAATAGTGTGACCTTTTTTTTTGGTGGCATCTGTTTTTTGGCCAGGCAGTGTATAAACCTGCTATGACACCAAACCCACACCAAGGATAAATAAAGCTGAGACAAAAGAAACCACTGAGCTCTGTGGTTGATAAAAGACAGAATAACTGTTATTATTAAACTAGTAAACATTTAAACATCTTATATAAATACACACAAGTATACACGTCCCTTCATGTACATAGACATATATTCACATGTTATACATAGAAAGTCTCAACAGCTATGCAGTGCTGTCATCAGATCCCAGCAGGTTAAAGCCTGGTTAAAGGACGAGATAGCAGCCAACTCCTCACAATACATGAAGGGTTTCACCACTAGTCCATCACACTGAGACCGGACCCTAAGAGAAGGGGGGAGGATCAGGATCSTACAGAGGAACTGATGAGTGAACATCTCAGGCAGCAGCAGAAACGAGGAAGAGGAGGAACAAGAGRAGCCATCATGGAAACAAAGGGTTCACTAGCAGTGTCTGGAGRCTTAGTCTGGACATGAGGCTGGTCCTAACACACCCAAAGACCAGTCTGGGACTCTGGAAGGACCACTATCTTGTGGTTGGTCAGTGTAGAGGAAGAGGGCCCGACTATGAATGAACCAACGCCATGTTAAACCTGTTGATGGGACAATACGCTGTTAGGTGCTGCCCATCTTTTGTTCAGTTTTTAAAGGGATCATGATTAGTTGTAACATTAGACTTTATTTAATAAACATTTATTTTAACTGTAAAATAAAGACTGTAAAATATTGTAGGCTTAGTTTGGTAAAATTTTAAAAATATATTTTAACAGACACTGAGCCATTTTATTTACACACAAAGCATTCTGGGTAAATGATGACGTGGATAGGTCCTCGGTGCGAGGCTGTTGGCGAGCTATATCCACCCTGAAGGTTAATCTTGGACAATATCTGATGATCGACTCTTAAATGAAACCAGAGAGCGTTGACAGAGAGGAGAAGGTAGAAATGACTCAGACTGGAACTGAAAATATGGATGGAGGACAACAGAGCTGCTTCATGGAACAAGAACCTCAGCTTAGCCTGTTAGCTTTAGCGCTAGCCAGTCATTTCTACCTTCTCCTCTCTGTCAACGCTCTCTGGTTTCATTTAAGAGTCGATCATCAGATATTGTCCAAGATTAACCTTCAGGGTGGATATAGC